TACACTTGGCGAGTTTGTTGTCTCACAAGCAGAAGGTTTGGACCCTGTACTCAATGACATCATCAACATTACAAAACAACTTAAGTCGAGGGTAATTAAAAGACTTTTATTGACATCGCTTCTACAAATTGCAAAATTCTGGAGAGCAAAATTCTATGACATACACTGTATCACCAGCAGCATTTCCCACAATCCTCCTCTTTTAACTGAGTAACATACAGGACTCCGACGTCACTTTGGCAGTGAACTTTGGCTTACAGACCAAATATAATAAGTACACTTGTAAAACATCCAGCAACCATCCACACATACACATGACAAACCGTACACAAAACATCAATACCATACTGATATGACCGGATGGACACTCCTTAAATACAATGATTCAGTGCTTGTAACAAGGCAGAACAATTCAATTCATCACAATACATAGAAAAATATAACACTGAACAGAAATATTGTCTCAGTGCAGAAATCAGCGGGTGTGATGGTGGAAGAACGACGCAGAGCAGAGAGAATGGCTGATGTGCAGAGCGCTTTATCCCACAGTAGTCAGATCTCGGTAAAGAGGTGACTCCTGTCCGGTTGTCATATACTTCTGTACTATACACACGCCATCAATGCACATGGCACTAGCCCCTTTTGAATGAGCCTATGCATCTTGTTTTAAAGTGCACCTGCCACTTCACACACTTTTGTATCATAGACCAGTATTCAATATGCTAGTTAGGCTACCAAGGTTTTCCTTGAATAAAACTTCATGAGGCTTGACGTGTGATGTACTGGGATTTAGTATATACATAGACCATATTCTTTACAAAACATAGAATCCTTCTGTTTGAAAAAAGGTAGGTTATCTTTAAAGTTGCGGAGGAGAATGCATGCTTATAAGACAGCTATTATGTGGGCAGTTAAATGATCAGGCCCATCAGCACAAGGCCATCTGACGTAGCAATAGGCTGTCTAGTGCAGATTAAGGCAGTGTTATTCTCAGGTAATAGTTAGTACTGAATTGGACAGCGTGCCACTTGGGTCTTTTTGGACATTGCTCTAGTGGTAACTGCCTTGTATTCAGGCAATGGGACACTTAAATTGATACTACAGTGCTTGAGTTATGTTGAGGCAGAAAATGGCAATCAGTCCCATGTGCTGCTGTGGACTAGGAGCAGTTTGAAGGTCTACTGGTAGCAAGTAATTGGAAGGGCAGTGAGCGGCATGACACGCCTATACTGCATAGATTGGAGAGATTTTCACCTACTAGCTCTGAGGGGGGGAAAGCTTTTAGATGGAGAAATCCAGGTTAATAGACCACTAGTAAGGACCCATGTTCCAGAACCTTTTAGACAAGCAACGGTTTTAGGAAACAAACCCATGTTCCAGAACCTTTTAGACAAGCAACTGTTTTAGGCAACAAACCCATGTCCCAGAACCTTTCAGACAAGCAACTGTTTTGGGCAACCAACCCATGTACGAGACACTTTAAGACAAGCCTGCACAATTGCTCTGGCAAATATAATGAATTGGGAAGGTTTATTTATTGGTCCCCCACAGATGGGCTGTCACTGAAGCCGTCATGCTTCTCTGCTCTTTCTTTTCCTTGGAGGGAGTTTAGACTGGGCTTACATGTCTGACTGCCCTCAAGTCTACAGGAAGCCTGATATTTGTACAATGTTTTTAGAGACAGATTCACCAGTGTGTCCCAAACTGAGCAATTCCACCTTAATACTGAGAGAATTACTCTGACTCTGAATCAGTCTGATGCTGACTGTCAAGCTAATCCAATTACTTCAATGCTTTCTGAGTCACTGACCTGGAACAGGAATACAGATTAGCTGATCTGATTCCACTGGCAGCAGAAAATACTAAAGCCAGAGAGAGACAACTATCGTTTTTAGGAGGAGTTCGACAACTTTTTATAGTTCTGTTTCTATTAGAAATATAAAAACTTTTTTACATATAAAAATGCAATACAGGATGCACCCTGACACTGGCATTGCTAATCTTTTTGGGTTTTCAGAAAGCCTAGCATTAGCTGCTCCCTTTATGACTGTGTGTCTCTAATTGGAACTCCAGGCAGAGAGCAGAGGGGATTCTTCTTACTTTTAGTTGTGTGTTTACTATTCAGCACTGTAAAGAAACCTGGACTTCTTTAATCAAACCAATGTAGTATTTGCTTTCACACTTGGTTACAGTGTGACCTGAGCTAAAATTAATATATGTAAGCCACTTTAACTTCTGAAGGAAGTCATTCTTAATTCTGTCAAGTCACCTTTGTGATTTACTATATTCTGCCTCACAGAATATGTAGGCTGGGGACACGAGTTTTCACTACTATAGTTTCCAGTGTCATTTACTTGCCTATTATAGAGCATTATCACACTCCTACAAATGTAAGCTACCTGAACCATCCCCTTGCAGCTCTCAGTGACCAACAACATATTATATTGAAAGCAATAAGCAAATGCAAAATGGTTTGATTGGCTCACAGTTCCTATCGTGTCACCTTCAGTCTGACCTCTGTTGCGCATAAGCTGTACTGGAATGGATATTTATCCTGTCTAATGGTTTAGTTCCCTGCAGTTCTGCTTTAGCCCCTCTGCGATCCCGGATCGCGTGGTCCTGCACAATACAGGCAGCGATTGCTGCGCGGCCCCATTGATTTCAATGGGGGGACATCCACGCGGCAATGTACCATGTACCTTTTTTTTGCCATACGATCCGCCCGGCACGACTGGGGTGCCATTAGAAAATAATAGCACCCACAGCGCGATCGGTTCACACTTTGGTGACTTCTGACCGTGCGGCAATCCACGCGGAATCGTGCACGATTGCCGTGTGGTGGGGTGTCGCCTAGGTGTGCACCGGCCCTTAAGATAAATAATTGGACATATTAGTTTCATCTCATAATCAGAATAGAATTTAATGGCCTTTTTTTTACCAATTAAAAGCAGATTTGGTAGCACCAAATCTACACACATATGCCAAAAGCAATTCATGTTGGATATGATTTATAACATTTCCAGGCTTATTCCATAAGAAGAGATGTGTGCAAAGTGTGGTAACCCATAGCAACCAGAGATCATCTTTCATTCAATCGGAAATTAGCGAAGTGAAAGCCGACAGGTTGCTTTGGGTTACTGCAGAGGATTTGTGCTTAAATTGGAAGGGCAGCTGGGGGATTTTGAATCAAGGAAGCTCTCTTTGATTCATAGACTCTTGTGAAATGCAGGTCTTGTACACTCAACATGTACTTAGCATTTATAGCCAGAAAACAAACCAAGATCCCTTGGTGTAATCCACTTGCATAATATTAAATAGGAATCTGAGTACTGTATAATTACATAAAGGGCAGAGTTAAAGACCTCTCGCAGGAGCCACCAATTTTATTACAGGTGATGGGAGAGGCAAAATATGACTGGCTGCAATGCAGCCCTGCAGTTCATATCCTGCACCATGAGGTTCTTCCAGGGACACCCCTTTACTGCTCCCAAATTATCTGTCCTCCCCAATCCATTCAACCATGAACCTTCTCATACCCTGGTAGACAGGAACTTTAGGGGGAGGAGACCACCAGGGGAGTGCTGGATGAAAAGGCAGGGCAGGAATTCAAGAAAACCTTTTAGCTTTGGAGAATTCCTCTCACCTCCCGTACTGGTGACATGATAGGAAGTAAGTGGGAATTTCCCACTTTTGGGAGTTGTCACCTGACGATATCCCCACTACTACTGTTTAGGTGACAACTGTTAAAAGATGGTGGATTTCACTTCACTTCACTTGGTGACAACGGGCAACATGAAACACTATGGTTTTGATGTCTCCAACAAGGGCATAGAGAGCAATATAAACTTGATTCCCAACTCTTTCCAAAATTCGATGTTTTGCCTGCAGTTATACTTCCAATACAATTTTACAATGCGATTGTCCCAAATTCCCAGAATTGAAGAAAAGCTCCACTATCAATGGCCAGGAGAACGGAGGAAAGGCAAGACTTTAAGCTCTTCTTTGTGCTCCTGATTTTCCATTTAAGAGTCTTGGCCTGAGCAATTTATGGAAGCTTACAGTCTGCGCCTTCAATTTCCTGAGTATCACAAATTTCTCATTCGACAAGCTTGACACCTGATAGAGGAAGCACAGAGGTGCAGATCAGGAGAGCCCATCAGATTTCAGGGACTGTTATGCAGCTGACTGGTAAAATGGATAAACAAATGTGCAAGCAGCTTACAATAGTCTCCTGGTCTATTCCTGGTGGAGTTTTTGCTTTAATGCCTTTGGGAAAAAGGAACGCAAACTTTAAAAAGGTTCTGTCAGGTTTACTTAAAAAAAACAATATCTCCTGATACTAACCTGTGCCCCACTTCCTTATTCATGTCAGAGATTGGAGTCCAAACCCTGTGTAAGCATTTGGACCTGATGATTGGCTGAGCAATGCATCCAGGTAAGTAGAGGAGGAGGTCACATGCTTCCCCATACTGGAAGGCACTGGGAGCTGTGATGGAGCAACAGAACAATGGGGGGAGGGGGTGGGGCTTATTTTACATTTCATGCTCTGTCTGAGTTTTAAGCTCAGCCCAACTGAGGCAGCCATTACACGGGACTTACAAAACAGACACAAAGGATCATAAAGGAATCATGTTATGAAGCTGAATGCAAGGTCTTGACCGGGTTATCCTTTATGGTGCACCTGGTGATATACCGTCTCACATGAGAGCCAAAGTATCTCCACATTTTAAAAAGGAAACCTGTTTGAAACAATACATGTATTAAAACAAAATAAAATATTTATCAATTTGCATATTTCAAAGCATGGGATACAAACAATAAAACATTCACACTGTCTCATCAGAATGCTCTCGATCCAACTATTTCTTGGACCAAGCTCGCAGTACAATCAGCCAATACTACACACATTAGACGGAGCCATAATAACATGACCCCATGCTGTGACAGACACACACCCATGAGGGCTTCGGAAGAGGAACAGCAATGCATTACAAAGTCTCATAAATCCTCACGATTGTCAGTACTGGAAAGATATAAGAGTGTTGATTTTATACACAAAATAGGACCTGTTCCAGAACACTCTGGTGAAGTAATTCACATACGGAGAATAATTCATTTTGATTTCGTGGCAGAAGCGTCCATATTTTGAGTAGGCATAAATATCCCCATCCTCGTTCACCACCTGTCAGCAGGAAGAACAGGCTGTCAGAAAAATTTATGCAGGTACACAGGCATTACTTAAAGACATAAATATGCAGATAGACAACATGTGCTTTAATTACATAACATGAGGAAGCTAGAACTGACCATATGTAGGGTAAAGTTAAAGTAGATATAAACTAGGGCTGCAACTAATCATTCTTTTTAAGATCGATTCGTTGGCTGATTATTTTTTTAATGAATCGATTGATCGAATAAAAAAAATAAATACCATCCTTAGTTTAACATAAAATGCACAAATGCAGTGTTACAAAGTTTACTTCAGAATAAAACTGAATGCGCAATTATTTGCAATCGCACTGCACTGTAACGCACGGTACAGTGCTTTCCAGTGCGGGCAATCACACTGTGGGTGGGTGGGAGGTGCGTTTGGGATGCCATTGAAATTAATACAGACGCTTCCTGCCTCTCCCACCCGCGGTATTAGTGTGCCCTGAGTACATCTGTACATCCCCGCACAGCCGCCAGGACATACAGCTGTCACAGACTTACATTGAACAGCAGCAAAGTCTGTGACAGTGTCAGCTGTATGTCCTGGCCGCAGTGCGGGAATGTACAGGTGGCTCTGAAAATACCGGTCACTGTAAGATGTGTTTAGCCCGGCAGAGCCTGTACAGACTCTGCAGGCACCACCAGGCAACCACATCCTGCTGTCTGGAATATTGTAAGGACCCTCTCCTGCGCTCCCTTCCCTTCACTGGCTGCCAAGGACTCAGGAGAAAGGTTCTGCAGGAGTTAGGTGAGGCTGGGGAGACTATGGGTGATGGTTGGTCCGGGGGGGGATTGAGAGACTGTGGGGCTGGTGGTATGCTGACTTGATGTATAATGTATAGCTAGCGGTATTCTGCATTCCTATATAATGATTATACAGCCAATACCAGCAATACATTATACAAAGCTGGAGTGGCGGATCCGGGGATCCCCCCCCACCCCCTCCGGGGAGGCGGGGGGGGGCAGTGGACACAGCGGTGGTGGGAGAGGAAAGGGGACTAGACTCTGGATCCACCCCTGCTCCCGCAGCAGAATTCGTCAGCTGAAACCGAAAATTACCTTTTTCCCACCTTTTATAAGGCACGTGACATGACACTTAAATAGCTTCAGCCATAGTCACATATAAAAAAAATGAAAAAAAAATGTTTTAAAGTCCCCCGCCCCCCACATGCATGCTCATACAAGCAGAAACACTCGGCGAGTATGCTTTTGTGCAAAAACGAAAATTGTGCCACACGTTACATATCGCAGCGAACGTCAGAATGAGAGCAATAATTCTAGGGCCATCAATCACTGTTAACACTAAACTGATGAACAGTAAAAGCTTTCCCTATTTTTTTTTCTACAGGGCCTCTGCTTTCAGAATATATATAATTGTTTGGGGGGTTTAAGCTGTTTTCTAGACTTCTTCCAATTTTAACATGAGTGTGCAAATATTGCTAGATATTGCTCCGGACAGCAAGTGGTTAATCATCTGACCTCTACCAAAAACTCAAATTTCAGTTTTTGGAGGACCAGCAGGATTATGTCAAACAATAACCAATTCGAGGTCTTCCAGACTTGTAGCTCTGTCTTTGGCAAGTGTTAGACATATTCAGGTCTGTAGGTCACCTCTGACAGCAGGGAAGCCTTTGGAAATCATGAACACTAAACAAAACACATTGCGCTCCCCCTTTCTCAGTGACATCGCAGGCCAATCAAACTATGCATGTGACTGCTAAAAAGTCTAATTGGTCTTTAACTACAAACCTGGCGGCCCTATTGCCAGTTCTAATGTCCAATGAGGGATGGATCATTGATCAGACCATCAAAAGGAGCAGCAGCCACTGGGTCTGATTAGTCAGTGATGTCATCAAAGGGGACTAGTAATATCAGGTGGTCATTAAACACTGGGGTCCTCGGTGGCCAGCTTGACTTTTACAAGCAATGCCGCCAGAAATGGGCTTAAAACAGCAAGTCACAGGTACTTTTTAGGGAACCCTTGCCTCATTATATCAGTTATACAAAAAGTGTATTTGGGAAACATCTTTGAGAAAAATGTGTCTGCCCACTTTGTTTCTTTTTCTCTTTATTCTGGGAGTAGGAGGGGAAACCTAGCAACCAGTTAGGGCCCAAATCATTTTCACTTTGGTGGAAAGGTGAACTTACATGATCATTTGCAATATCAAGCAAATCCTTTACTCTGCAACCTTTCAATCCAGCCACCTCATTACAGATTGAATCTTCAATCACCACATAGTTGGCTTTATAGGAGGTTAAGATCTTGTAGATGTCTTCTGCTGACCTCATGCTATAGATCTGATAAACCTGCAAGAAAGACAACAAGTATCGTACAAATGCTGCAAGACAACAAGTATCATACAAATGCTGCAAGACAACAAGTATCGTACAAATGCTGCAAGACAACAAGTATCATACAAATGCTACAAACGGAGCAGTAAGAGCAACAAAATAGTTATGCATTCATTAAACTGTTGATCTGTCTCCCTCTAGTGGCCAGCAGAGGAATGTTTTAAAGAGAAACTACCAGGAATGCAATTTTTGCCAATTGGAATTTTACCTTATGCATGTTTTATTAAGCAAGTGCCAAACCTATCACATTGTGTTTGTGTATATATATATATATATAAAAGATGTAGTCATTAAAAAAATGCAGAGCTCTATGAAGAGATGTAGGAGTGTCATTAGAAACTCTCTATACAGAAGCATGAAGGTGAGGCACTGGAAACCTCCACAAAGCACACCAACAATCAGCACAGGGCTCCAAGTTTCTGAATTTAGGGGCAACATGCCAGGCTTAACCCACTGTTGCAAATGCCTACAGGTCTGTCACTGCTCAACAACATAGAAAAAGGAAATGTATACATTACATGTTCATTCCTCTTCATCAGTTCTTCATCATTGTACACAGGTAAACTTGTCACCATCCAACCTGTACAGAGCTTTATGGCACCCATCAGCTGAGGACTCCCAGCAAACACTGCAGCCAGGGGAGCCTGACCTCTGCAAACAAAATGACAATGAAACGGCTATATTATTTATTGTTATACATGAGAGGATCCTCTCTTTAATGTGACATCATTTGTCAGTAGGATCATCTTATAGATGAATGATATGCATGTCCAAACATGAAGTCCTATTGCACCCACTGTGCTGCCCCGAAGAAAAATCAGGACTCAAAGACTCACTGTCACTTTGTTCATTCAATCCAAGTGACAGTGCCTTTGATTGCCCTTCACCCCAAGATGGGCTTCATCATGCTCCCTTGCCACCTTCTCACTCTGTCACAGCCCTCGTTCCATCGCTTGATGTCTGGCTCTGTCTGAATTCATTGCTTTTTCAGCCCTGGACCAAGCATGCAGCAAAATTCCTTATCTGCATTCTTGTTCTGGGTTAGTGAATGAAAGTGTGAACCAATGCATCAGCAAGACTGCCACACACTTAGAATTTTCCAGAGGTCAGTAATGGCAGCTTACACAGGTTACCTTTACAGAGAACCAATCACAATAGGGTTCTGCTAGAATCTAAAAAATTATTCTTTCATAGGTAAACCTGCAGTAATATCATTTTATCATTTTGTTTAGGTTCATACTTAGTTTGTCTTAAATGTTATTGAAGAACTGTAACATATTGTAGATTACCAGTCCTTAGATGAGCTGGCTGCATTCATTTTCTTTTTTCAGATATTTTTTTCCCCTTTATTTTTACCGGGCCAGTAACACACTTCCTGTCACAATGTTCACTCACTGTACTGTATCTATAAAGGGAGCAAAGTTGTCACCCTAGGATAGGGAGTGTGTTAAATGAGAACTAAAGCCAAACCTTCTTTTGCCTTTGTCTTCTTTTGGGTCAGAGGATGACATTTAGTAATGTCTTCCTTTGACCCAACGTCAGCATCAAAGGGGACCACTGCCTGCTAGTTGTGGACAGCGCAGAGCCGCACGGCAGCAGGAGAAAGATCCTGACAATATTGTCAGGATACACCTCACTGCCTGATTGACAGCTGGCTCTTCCTCTCTAGAGCTAGCTGTGCCAGCCCTGTTCCCTGTCTGCCCCTCCAATGAACGCTGGAGAAATGGTAAGAGGAGGGAGGAATCCCTGCTGGGAGCGGTGGCTGACAGTCTCTGCTCTCTGCAGTGAGAAGACTGTGAGCTGAGCAATCAGCAGCTCATGATCACGCACCTCTCGATCTATAGAGCCGGCATGTGACACCTGCAGTAAATTTTACTCTCCCAATACTTCTCCTTTAAGACAGAAAAACACCTCCTTCTTTCCATAACATGGGGGTGTTCTGTAGCTCACAGAGGTGAACTGGCCAGCTGCTTCATTTAAGGCTGCAGAGAGAACAGGACAACTCTGCAAAAAAACATCCTGCCAGAAATGCACTTATCGAGCAGCTATAATAAAACAATTATATATTTAAAAAATCAAAATAGAAATAAGAGAAATCATTGTAAGTTTGGTGTTTGAAGACAAGAGTCAGAGCTGAAAGACCCCCTGTGACTGGTAATTTAGAAGGAAACAAGCTGATTCACAGTATTCCAAACTACACTTATACCAGTCACCTTCAGTAAGCAAGCTTTAGCCCTGGCACAGTGGATCAGAAATTCATTGCCGCTCTGACTCACTTCAATGCAGTAATATCTGTGATATTCATGGAACAAAGACCAGCACAGCTGCTGATGACTAAGCATTGTGTACTAAACATTGAATAATTAATTTGTGTTTAGTACACAATGCTCATTCTGCACAATTTCTTTGAAACCTATGGTATGTACAGACATAAATGTTTAAACATACATGTATGGCTTAAGCACCTATAATTAAGCTCAATACAATGAGAATAATAATGGGAATGTCCAAGAGAAAAGTCTGTTTGTGTGTAATTTAAGGTTAGATGTTCTACAGCGTATACACAATATAAAGGAGTAATTCAGCGTTGGTGGGATTATTAGGGTGTTACAGCTGATGTTAGACAAACGCAGAAAGCAGAGGGTGGGGTTGTGACTTTTATGTTACTGTTTTTCTTTCGGTACCTTCCAATACCGAGTACTGATACTGGTGCTCCCGCTGGCATGGAGCCGGCTTGCCCGGGAAGCTGGCTCCATGCTGGTTGGCTGGGAAGCTGGAGTTCTTCATTAATGAACCCAGTGTATGCTTTCATGTACAGTTCCGCACACTTGCATGAGCATGCATTATAATGTACTGTATATCTTTTTTAGCTTTGATGGTACAGTGCCAGAGGAGGTGATAGAGATATAACATTATTACTTTACTCTTTTTTGTGTACACAATGTTGCCAGTTTGTAGGAACCATCAGATCATCTCTTACTTTATCCAGTTCATGAGCTCCACAGTGTCAGACTCATAGTGCTCCTCCAGTTCTGATAACTCGTTGACGATCTTGGGTAAGAACTGTTTTCGTAAGCAAAACACAAACTGTGAGCGAACAGCCTGTTGTTATATGGTTATATTCAACTAACTGGCATGTGTAAGAAAGACCTATATTCAATAAAATGGCTCTTCCATTACATGGAAATAAATGCTACAGTGACACTCAATTCAGGAGTTAAATCTTAAAAATGCATTAAATGCCATAACCAGTAACAAAAATTTATCTTATTTGTGTATCACTCGGCTGGAGATCCTCAAATCATTTCTGAATCACGTTCAGACCCAGATTTTCGGCTGACAGTCCAGTCTTTAACACATGTATGATTTATAATATAACATAACAGAGCAACACATTTTATTGAAAATGTCTTCCATATGTTTCATATTTTTAAACTTCTATATTGTCTTGTCTTGCATTAGACCAATAATACTGCAAATGTGAAGAAGTGACAATATACAAAACTGCAACAGCCAAATCCACTGACCCTTGCAGTGCAGATTTTATACTAACATTTGGATAGATGACCTCACCTCTCTCCATAAGCTAAAGCCGATCACAGTGGGGACAGCTGCACTTAAGATGAAAGCCTATAAAATAAGACAGGGAGGGTACATGTGTCAGACAGCAGAGTCTATAGTAGTGAGTGAGTCCAGTTAAGGGAAGATTTTTGGTCGCCTTATTAAAGAAACAGACATCTTATACAGTAAATCACAAAGAATGCAGAAGGAAGCACATTCTAAACAAGTTGTTCTGTTCCTAAAATTAAGAGGGCTGCCAATATGCAAATTAGTCAATCTTTAGGACTAGACTCCGATAATAATGTATTGTCTGGCTCCTACCTGCTTTAAAGCTAAAGTCTCCCTTTAAAAGAAAAAAAAATGCACATATATTCATAAAAAGGGAAAAAAATGCATTTATAATTTTTTTGCTTTGGAGCCACAAAAGCATTCCAACCATGATCAGTGGATGGCGGGCGCAAAGCTCTGGCTCCTGGAGATTCTTCCTGCAGCCTCGGTGCGTACCAAGGTATGGATTTTCAGTTACATGAACAGGAGGAAGTATGAAAGGACTACAAGTCACACTTGTATTCCATTGAGAATAACAAGCCCTTCTGCTGCGGGGGCATACAGGAATTGTAGTTTCCCCATTCACAGGCACTGTCAAAAGATCTGTGAATAGATGTAACAGGTGTGTGGACAGAGCCACACCAGATTTTAAAAAATAGCAGCCTGCAGAGCAAAGAAACCCACAATTCAGGAGGGGCAGGATGTGACAACTTATACTGTACTATCCCCTGTCCCTATCCCCGGCACCAAGTATTTTACTCTCCTGTTCCCAATCCAGAGAATTATCTCCAAGGACGCAGAGGCGAATGTCAAAATCTTCCGAGCAGGGTCCAGGCATATACTCTGCACTCTCCATTTAGTCCTATGCGCTCAAAAGGTGCCCATACACTGCACGATTCTCGTACGAGAATCGCGGGAAATCCCGCGATCGTACGTGAATCGTGCAGTGTATGGAAGGCGTGCGACCGTTTCTACTGTACGGTCGCACGTCTTCCGTCGAGCCAGCAGGCTAGAAAACCCGCCGGGAATCGTACGATTCTCGGCGAGTGAGTGGCCTGCTTGTTCGACAACTGACGAACGGGCCAGTGTGCGCACGCGCACACTGCCCGTTTGCCGTCCTCGATGATCGCAAGTACGATCTGCCTGTCCAAGATGGGCAGATCGTACGTTTTTTTAAGTACTTTACAACCATCGCAAGACTAAGGTCTTGCGATGGTTGTACAGTGTATGGCCACCTTTATTCCATGCCATGGCAGAGTAAAAACTGCACAGGTTTGAAGAGAGACTCCAAAACACATGTGCAGGGGCCCTGCTCAGAAGCTTTCAACAAGCAGCTGTGTATCCTCATTGGTGATATCTAGCTAGATTGGGGACAGGTACGTATAGGACTGACAGAGCAGTTTGGGACAGTGGAAGATAAAATATATATGCAACTGCAGCAGGTGTGAAAGTGAACTTGTCCCTGCATGGACACAGCACAGGTCCACTTTAAAGTTCTAAGAAATAAATGACACATCTAGTTAGGGGGATTCCAGTGGCTGTTTTGTTCTGTACAAAGACTACATTTGTACATAGATCAACCACTGCAAAGAGTGAAAGCAGAAGAGGGAAGGTCCACACAGACACAAACTGAAAACTCATGAAAAAAACAAACAACCATACAGAGGTCAGTAATGCAAACAGGAAAGAAATGTGCCATTTATAGAATATTCTAGTAAATAATTCATTATGTGAAAAAAAAAAGCAGCACTGTAGAGAGTCTGTTTATCAAGACACTAGTACAGTTTAGGACTAATGTGGATTTCTCACCATCAAGACTGGATGTACAGTTTTCACGCGGATCCACTTGAGCAGTGTAATCCACAGCTCGGGGGAACAAACACCGAAGGCAGCAAGGACACAGACATAGGGCGTCCACAAGTACTTCACTCTGATAACACAAACCTTCACATATTAACCGGAGCATTGCACAGTAATACAAACTATTGCTAAGATCAAGACAATATAAAGATGCTTGTGTCTGTAAAGCTGGGCCTTTAAGTTCCAGAGATGCTTAGTACAGTATGTCTGTGTCTGATATGCAAGAAATGTATTTAAATTCATATTTGTATTTATTCCAAACAGCGTCTGTGGACAGTGAAGGAAGTCAGTTGATGTAACATACAGACCACACAAATAAAATCTCGAGTCTCTTACCCCTCAAAGGTCATCGCAAGGGAGCCCAGGAGAAGACTTTGAATGACATGATAGATGACCTCTGGTCTTTCTCCTATCCGTCCTTCCCTGGGGAGGATATTAGCACTTATAGGCTCACCACTGTAAAAATAATGTTGCAATTAAGACATAATGTATATCATAGCAAAGGAACTCAAGGCAATGAAGACTACGACTGAAAGCAACAAGTAACATGCACAAGTTCACGAGGAACCAAGCCTTGCCTCAATGAGCATGATCAATCCAGTCCAATCATATTTACATATTACGAAGAAGCAGTAAATGAGCTTTAGAAGCAAACCTTCCTGACTCTTGTAGCTGCTGGCACTGTGGAGAAATTCATCCTCAAAATACACAAGAGAAGCAGTGAAGAAGTTCAAGTCGCGTCTCAGCACTCCGCTCTCCCCTTCTTTCTGTGTGTTTGTTCTGTGTTTATTTTAGGGATTAGAAGGCTGGCAGGCTGTCAAGTCAGTGCTGACAGAGGGTAGGAGAATAAGATGAGCTGCTGAGCTCCTGCAATAACATTGAATATGAATTGATCCACAGTGCTCACAGCAACGTAGGGGCTTGTCTTAAACTTAAATTTACAGTTTAGGAATGTGTAAGTGAATGCCCATAATCTGGCAACAATTTCAGTTTAAAGCAGCACAGAAGAGATTGTATGGTCAGTAGCCTTAGTGAACACTGTAAAAGGCAGGGGACTTTAAATGAAATTTCATACGTTGCACTTTATTTACTCTCTTCTAGGAAAACTATACAGAAACCATTTGACTGGAATACAATACGCAGACTTGAACAACATTAAAAAGGGTTTTTCAGAATGAAGGGAATTTCTTACCGAATTCTTTTAAATATTCCCTGTGATATGGAGAAAAGGCAGATGAGCAGGACGAGGATGTAGAAAGGCAACAGGGAAGACTGAGTGAGCCGTAAGAGGTAATCCTGAGATGGTGGTTGGAAGGACTTCTGACAAAGCAACCAATTCACCGTGAAGTTCCTACAGGACACAAAAGGACAAAGAATAAACTGGTAACCGAATCCAAACTCCAGCCAAAATATAGTGATTTAGTTCTGGATAGGAGTGAGAAAGCTTTGGGCCTCAGCTAGATTTTTATTGTTTCTATATCACTACTGAAAACATTTGCACACAATTCCTACGTGGACACCACAACGACGATGACACAGACAGCAAAAAAAAACCTTGACAGATGTTTTAGCCATTTGAGGATTTTAAACTTAAAAGATACATCCTAAAAAACGTCAACAAAGTTTCTAAGGACACACCTCGTACATCGTTATATTACGCAGTAACCCAGCGCTAGTACACACTCCCACAAAGCTGTAATTGTATTTACCATTTCATTCATATGTAAACCAAAAATGTTTTTCCAATAAAATATATCCTTATTCAACCCCTTAAAGAACTCTGGGTAAAGTTTTATTAACCCTTGCAGTGGGGCTACCCCAGCACTGCAAGGGTTAACTGCTTGTTTTGGTCAAGGGCTGCAAATAAAAAAAGTTATACTAACCCGATCCTCCGAGCCGGCTAGCTGTGGCAGCGGCCCCTGCAGCCTGTCTCCTCCTCTGCTTCAAGAATGAAACGTCACTCAGCGTCCTCTTGTCCTATACATGTGCATAGAACATAATGACTCAGGGACCTTAGCACACTTCAACGAGTGGGGGGGGTTGGTTGGGTGGGGGAAGAGGGAAGAGACGCTCCAGGGACCGCTCTAAAAGCAAGCCGCGTCGGAGAATCAGGTGAGTATAACTTTGTTAATTTCAACCCTAGACCAAAATGAGCACTTAACCCTTAAATTGCGGGGGTAACCCTGCTGCAAGGGTTAATAAAAAATTACCTGGCGCTCTTTAATAACCTTCAGTTAACCCTAATCATTCCTAATAACTGCTTCCTACCATTCTTCCATTAGTTATTATGTTTCTGCTAATTTTTGGTTATTTCTTTTTTACCATCAATATATATATTTCTTTGTTTTGTTTGTATTTTTTCAGTGTAGCATAAAAAGAAAATGCACAAAATTGAAAGAAAAAAGAAAAAATATTTTTTTAATTTGCAAATAACTTTGTCATGCTTTGTACCAGAAACATAATTTTACTGTAATTCCGAAACGGGACAAATTTATAAAATACAATTCTTTTTATTTACAAGGAATTTTTTTTTTTTTTTTAACCAACACTGATCAAATGAGGAAAAAAATATTTAAAAAGTACATATTTACAAAAGGTAAATCTAGTTTGTCCCCCAAAACAAAGTATGTATTACTTAATTATCTTGAGTAATGACAAAGTTATCTCTGAATAAACAGGCTCATAGAAGAAATGTAAAGATTGCCCTGATCCATAAGGGGTGTATAGGTACGAGAGCTGAAGTGGTAAACCTCTCCTACTCTAACCAACTCATAATACAAAATAATATTAGAAAAAAAAAAAAGTGAGAAACAACTCAACTGCATATTACAGAGAAATAAGGGATCAACAATATACAGAAGTAGCATGGACAGAGCGTAGTATTCAGGAACAGTCATTAAAAAAAAAAAAGTAACAGTTGAGATTAGATGCCATAACTGATTTCTTTGTCTGTACTGCGTAGCAGCATGTAAAACAGAACAAGCACAGTCATAAAAGAAGAGTAAAGAAAAGGGAAGTATATGACATTACCATATTCACATTGGAGATTATGGAATCCCACATTGTATTTATGTATTGTCTCCCCCCCCCCACAAATAAAGTTAAAGGTTTTGGCCTGAGTTTGGCTTTACGTTTAAAGTAAAGAAAGTTCTGTTTGTCTTACTTGGTCATGTTGAGTCCAAATTTTACTTCAAGAGATTTCAGAAGCTGACGGTTTTCTTTATGAGGAATCACGGTCTTAAAAGAAAAATATATATATTTATAACCTCATATTTTCTATTCAGTATTTTAACTTGGTAGGGAAAAGGGTGAACCTGGAGAGAATGATCTGGTGATGATGAAAACTTGATAGAAAACATTTTTTATGTAACCGGTCACAACAGAAATATAGAAGCTCTTATTCCTGATTTTGTTTTTTATGGTGCAAGCTCCAGAGCTGCCATTCCTATTACTTATTCGCTACTTGGTAAGTCACTGACCTGAGAAAGGTATAAAAGGTGCCATAACACATGTGTGTTCTGGATTCTTGAAGCTGAACTATGGGAAAAACCTAAAGTTCCCCTTGCAGTGGGACTCCCTGGATTTTCCCTGGAGTTCCGCAATAAATAATGTACTACAGGAAGGATATGAATCACAGCCCTGCAGCTGCACTTTCAAAATCTATTCTAGAATGAGAGCTCTCTTACTTCTAGACCATCTCTCCTGTAAAAGTATAGATGCCGTATTACAGCTGATCTTCAACCAAACCCTTTTTTTGGATAGAGTGGGCTTGGGTGATAACCTCTGTCAGGTCTTTATTATCTTCGGAGTCCTAACTGTGAGGATACTCTTTCCCGCCAGTGTTCTCATCAGTACAGGAAGCAAAGATAAATCTCCACAAAGGGGAGACAGAGAGCAATAACACTCAAAAGAGGTTCTAATTCTGACACATTCTAGAAGCTAGAAATATATTTATTCACGCACGTGAAAATCAACCGGAGCATCAATATCATGCAAGCACATCAAAAGCAAACACTTTTCTTGAAAGACTAGATTTCTGGGTTCACACTTTAGTGCTTTGTAATATACATGAAACATGCCTTCATTGCAGCCAAAAGAATGGGGCCAAATAAATACAACTGGGTGCTCTAAATAACATGAATGTATGTAAATGTGGATCTAGGCTTAGTCCACCCAAAAGCATTGGAACATTGTCTTCTTACATGGTGCACAGAAGAGATATTTTGTGATCATAATCTCTACATAGACGGTTACACAACCGCTTAAGAAATAGGACATGCTGTATTTTTGATAATGTGTCAGTTTGTGTAGTTTTGCTTTATTTCCCATTGTATACCAGATGTCAGATAAGCTCCATTCTCAATACAAGACTACTTACCCTTATTAAATAATGCAGTGATACAGAAATGGTAAATGCCAAATAAAAGTACATAATCTTCATCACTTTCGCTCTGAATGTGCCCTTTTTAACTCCGACCTAAGAAAAAGTGAAAAGTACAAGTTAAGAGCTGCTTATCTTCAAGTGGACCTAGTAGCACTATAACACAGCTAGGCAGAGGGAATCATGAGTGTTGGAGACTGGAGGAGGGAAATGGAGGAGGGGCAGCAAGTTAAACTTCAGTTTGTAGCCCTGAGATACCATCTCCTCCACCCAAGTGTCTGAAATGAAAGCTGTCCAAGCAAACGCTAAGGTTAACAAATGCCCTTACCACACTTTGGAAAGTGGCGCGCACCTTCATGCTGAGGAAATCTTCTCTGAGCATTTGGTAGACTGAGTGCCAGGACCTGCAGGTGGATGAAGAACCAAACAATGGCGGTCTCAACGTAGAGGTTGAGGGAGTAGAGAAACTACGGTAAAAAGATGTTTCTTAACTGACAGAGAGGGAGAAGACTTTGTGGTCTGTTCCTTAGGCTTCTTCCACTGGGGAAGATGGGTACTCTGGCCACCAACAGCATCCTTGATGATGTTGTCAAGAGCTGATCTGATGAGATGCCGTCTCTTGAACACCAAGTGGATCAAAATCTTTTTATACAAGGGTTCTGCAGTCCACCACTTTAGCCTTAGTGCCCTACATATATGGATGGACATGAGACACATGCGAAATAAGAGGCTTCTAGCAAATGTCACAGCTGAAATTAAACGCTACAGCGATCTGCTCCATGTACTCTATAAGCGAGGAAACAACCTAAGCAGCAGTTAGATCTCTTCTAAAGGATTTTGCCCAGTTAGACATGGTCAGGCAAAGTAAGATCACAGCTAGCATCAGATGAAGGGCAGGGTCCACCTGCGATAACAGAGCTCTAGAAAGGGCTTCAGTTGAGTCCTGAAAAACAAACACGTCCTCTACTGGAATGGTTAGCACCCTTTTAAGGAAGGACACTGCTGGATCTCACAGTGGGAATAGACCACTTCTGAACAAAATCCTCACTGAATGGATACAAACTAATAATAATTAATGGGGAGAAAAAAGCTTTTCAGGATGTTTCCAATCTCCAGAGAAACAGTGGGAAGAGCAAGGTCTTTGCAGCGTTTTGAATGACCCAAGGCTGGTAGAAGTTAGGCTAGTTTTAGAATAGTGCACATTGCATCAATAAGAGCCTAAGTCATTAATTTGGGAGTAATAGCAGTAGACTGCGACTCCCCAGGAGCAAACCTATCTGTCATGGAATGGAACGACTCAGAATCAGAGTGTCTGCGACCGATGCCGCTAAGGCTGTGAACAAATCAGATATAGAATCTGCAGAAGAGGGTGTGGGAGTACACTTGTAAAATCACAGTCAGCAAATAACTGGGTGACTTGGTACATAAAATCTTGCATGACGAGGCTAAAAACCTCAGCCAAGTGGGTTCAACCACACCCGACGCAGTCAAGGAGCACTGCGAGGATGGAACAGACCCTAAGAACAGAGGATAACATGATTCCGGGCTACAGACACTGGCGCACCACGATAAACAATGCAAGCAGCCCCCCCCCCCCGAACAGTTAGAAAAATGTGATCTGGGGGCACCTGATATAAGGGAACTGGTCACTCCCTTATGTCTAGAATCAGATATGTTTTGACTGTGTAGAGGTAAAGTGATATACAGTCTCAGGGTATGCAGCAAGGCCTCAGGTACTACAGAAACCCAGACAACTTGTTGCAGGTGAGGGTGAGCCGGAGGTGATCAAATGTCACTGTAGGCCGGTGGCATGAATGAATTGAAGTTCCACATACTTCTTTTTAAGCAGAAGCAAAAGCGGGGTGATGCTTCCCTGATGTTGTATGGCAGGAAAACGTGCATGCACACAACACTTCACCCAGCAGATGCTGTTGGATGACTCAGCATCCTACAGTTCCACCACTTTAAACCCTACATTGTAAAACTACCAGGAATGGGGAATAATTGAAGTAGCTGCTGGTGCCTGGCCTGGCCGGCCTACTCACTGAGTCTCCATAGACAGGGTAATGTCAATGGCTCCGGAACTAGGAAGCGCTACGCAGCTAACTTTTACCAGGACTAAGCATGGAAAGCGTCCTACATGGAACTCAGTGCCTCAGGATCACTTCCAGGCTATGCCTGCACTTCCAGTCGATCGGGATTTGGACGCAATACTCCAAAAGCCAGGCTGAGGACGACTGCAAGTGCATAATAAGTAAATATAGCTGTCACATGTACATGTAGTTCGATACACAAAAGAAAAGTTATAAAAACCTTAATGCAGACTGATAAGATCAAGTGGATATCTTTAACAAATATAAAATAGCAAAATCTAAGAGGTATATACGCAACTCATAAGGCTCCAATTCCATCATGCTGTACCTGAAGGCTTTTGGCAATCATACAACCCACAACAAGGCTTAGCAGAGGGGATGTCAGCAGAGCAGAGTTCTCAAACTGTAGTAAATATCCCAGGAACACAGAGAACAGGTACATCTTATGAATTTCATGCACCTAAAAAAAATAATACACAATTCCATCAAAAATATTCTACATTGAAATGGAAAACTGCAGCAGAACAGCTTTAGGGTGCATTCACAGCTCTGTGCTTTGTTGCGGATGTGTTAAAAAACAAAACAAACCCTGTCTGCTTTATTTCTGGGGCGTTTTCCAGAAAGAATGTGCCTTTCATTAGGAGAAATGTTAAGGATTCACATCCTGCCAGGATTGTAGTCAGTAATGATACATTTTACTCATTGGCAGAGGAGGAGGAGGCTGTAGAAATCTAAATCTGACCATACATGTTACTATCCGATTATGCAATCTTTTTTAGTTCTACCTACAACTATGTAGCGCAGGGGCTACCTGGCTGCACACACAGGATAGACTGTTCAGGAAGACACATTACACCTTTTAAGTAAACATAAAAGGAGATTGTACAATCAGCGTAATATATCTCAAAAAGAATAAAGTGGAATCAAGTCACAATGATAGCAGACAAAAGTGTGAAAAGCTGGATATACATGGTTGGAATTTTATACCGAGGTTTGTAATAGGGATGCACCGATACCAATACTACTGTAGTATCAGTGCCGATACCTCGTACTTGCCCAAATGCTCCGATACGATAACGGAACTTCAGGTCAGAGGGAGATCGCCCTCTGACCAGCAGTGCTGAGGGAGCATGGAGCCGGCTTCCTTTCCAATCAGGAAGCCGGGCAGCGGGTTATGACTCGCCTCCCGGCTTTCTGATTGGCTAGGAAGCCGGCTTCACTTGTTGCTAGGCAGCCTGGCTTCCTAACCCATCAGAAAGCTGGGCAGCACATCATGACCCACCTCCCGGCTTCCTGATTGGTCAGGAAGCCAGGCTACCAGGCAACAAGTGAAGCCGACTTCCTAGCCAATCAAGAAGCGGGTCATGACGTGCCACACGGCTACCCTGATCGGCTAGGAAGTCGGCTTCACTTGCTGCTAAGCAGCCTGGCTTCCTGACCAATCAGAAGGCCAGGCGACACCTCATGACCTGCTGCCCACCTTCCTGATTGGTCAGGAAGCCAGGCAGCCTCAGGAAGTGAAGCCGGTGTTCTTTCAATAGAACACCGGCTTTTCAGGCAATTAGGTTATGAACCGCCGCCCGGCTTCCTGATCATCGGGGCACAGGACACCGGTATAGGCGAGTACCGAAAAAAATATGTCGGTACTTGATACCGAAAAGCCGGTATTGATGCATCCCTAGTTTGTATGAAAGCTCTTAGAACATTCAATAATGCTATCAAAGACTTGAGAAAGTCATTCAAATTGATTTTGGAAATGAATGGAACTTCCCAAACGAAAATCACATTAACAATTAGAATGTCATTTGTTCGAGAAAAAAAACTTCCATCCTGCATCTCAGTTTGACCCAATCAACTATTAGAAAATTGAATAAATGTTACAAAAACAATTTGAATCATAAAAAATTCTAACCATGATCCCACTCTCACTCACTGGTATACAAGTTACAAACAAGTGAAAACCAGCACTAAGGGAAACAGGTAGGACACCATCATGACGTCCTCCTAAAATCCCTAGTTGCTTGGTGGTCTCTGGCTTCAGTGCTTTTGGAGCTACTTACTCGGAACAAGCATACAGCAAGTAAAGTCATAACATATGATGTGCATACTTGTCCCAGATCAGTGATTCAGGAAGTACTGAAGCCACTGAGCCAGTATAATAACCAGGCAGCTAGAATTTCCAATGTCAATGTTTAGGTGCATCTTCCTCCTTCACTGGTAATAGATAGCATTAGATGAGTCGGGTCGGTGTTATCGGTTTATGACGCGTAACAGCTTTAAGATTTATACTAAAGAGATGTGATCTGTGATCAGAACACATTACTAATATTAAAGTGACATTAAAGTCAAAAATCTTTTTCCCTCCCCCCAATGTTAATTAAAGCACTTACCTTAAATTATGTTTTTTAATCCGATCTTCTTCTTTGCTGTCCTTTTCATCTGCCCCTCCAGCGCTGTGGCGAGTCTCTGATCCAGCGCTGACTGTTCTGAGCTTGCTGGCACTTCCTGTCCAGCGGTGTCTGCATGCGGGTGCACGCGTCTATAGACTTACCTTGTGTCTCTCCTTGCGTCCCGGCCGAAAATGTGAACTGCGCATGCGCGCCCCAAGATGCTTTGCGGCCGCCCAAGAATTTTCACATTTTCGGACGGGCGCGCGCGGGTAAGACACAGGTAAGTATTAACCCTTTTCAAAGCGTTTTTTTTTTTTACACTGCATTTATCTACTGCTTGCTAGGAGTAGATATATGCAAATACACCGGAGGGTTTAATAACACTTTAAATACTTGCTCACATTCAGTATTTCACAGATTGCTTTAAATATATACAACAGACAGGTTACCTTCTCTTTCTTGACCAAGGAGAGGCCATCAAGCAGACAAAGGGATAAGGCTTGTATGAAAAGCAGGTAGTGGCTGTACTCCCACATCATTATAAATGTGTAGGTAGATGCACTCATCAACAGGTAACAGAATCTCTGGAAAGATAACAGATTCATTAATATCATTATATTAAATAGCGCAACTTGGAATCACAAGTTCAAACTCTGGTTCCCTGTGCCATTGACTTGTAAACTAGGCTGGGAATGCTAGCTGGTGTCATTATCCAAATATGGAAATGATCATATCTGGTCAACGACGTTATCCAGGATCCCCACCCCTTTGTTTATATTCAGCAGGGAATCTCCCAGTCAGCAGCTGAACGGGGCTGGGAATTTGCCACTGGTTAACAAGACCCGACCAGGAAGCTATCACATTGATAACACTCCAGCACAAACATGCCCTGCTCCTTCCTACACAGTGTGCCCACTTTGTAGTAAAGAACAGGGGGTGGTTGCATGTCTGGCTCTGCATTCCAACTTAGACTTAGTCTTAATTACCTTGTTTCGTTACCTACAAACTGGCAGTAACTATTTTACCCCTTTGTAACCAGGGTAGTTGCGCTAGGATATATTTACAGAAATTAACCAGCTGAAGCAATATCTATCAACGTGATCAAGTGTAAGCCGGGGTGCTGCGCTTGGTTGTGTGTGCTCCACCTTTTAATTGGTCTTTAAGTTGTGTGGAAATGTGAAAATATCACAAACTAAATACAGTGCCAGTGATCAAATCCTAGTTGCGGCTGTATAATGAAAATACAAGTCGAAAAAAGGAAGGTAAATGTGTTCGTGAATAAAAATTAAATATTAAGTTAACAATGTAAATATCGCAAAATATGTGTAGCATGTGTAAATAAATAAAATATAATATTGTCGTGTGAAAACAAGTTATATTGTGAATAATAAATAAATAAATAAATTAGCTGTGCCCCCCGTGACCAATCAGAGAAGGACATTTTGTTCAGACATCTCACCTCTGCAGTTAAATTGCTGTTGTTTCTTAAAAAGCCAGTGAGTGCTGCCACCTGACATGCAAAGTATGGAAGAGCCCAGTTTTCTCTCAGAGGAATGGAGTCTTCCATTCGGGTGGTATCTGTCCTGAAATAAAGTGTATTTATATATGTAAAGCAGCTTTAGCTAAATTAGAACTTACCCTTTGCTTATCGAATAGGCTTTAGCGATGAGCCATCTTTTTCACATAGACATGATACTTAACGTGTACGTAAACCCTAGCAATTCACTTTTTTGCACCCTTTTGTATGGTAAATATTCCATTAAAAGCATTTAGTTAAATCTGTTCAAGAAGTGCAAAATTACCTGTTGATAATGTCAGGAATGCAAAGCTGTACTGTGCATTCTGAGGTTATCTCAAAAAGTCCTCCCAGTTCTTATAAATGCCTACAGAACAATTACTCCCTGTCGTGGAGAAGGGTAGAGGGGAAGGGAATCAGTAGTTTAACCCAATCACTGCCACCAATGTATGATGAAGGTCACATGCCCCGTAAAACACGTCAGCCATTTGCTGATTTTTATATACACCGCAGACTGAAGCAAGTAGATCAGGAGATAATTTAATCAAGTCGCAGCCTTTCAGTGGGTTCTACTTTGATCAGACAAGCTCTATCATTCTTTTAAAGTACGAGTACCTGTCTTGTTTTTCTGAATAATAAAAATAATTTGTGAGGACAAGGCGCTCGGGTTTTTGTTTTGTTTGTTTTTAAGTGGATTAGACTTCCCTGTCTTGTATGTTGAGCTACCCACTTCCAACGGATATTCTGCCAGCTGTGGTGAAAAGGGTGAAGACTTGGTTTGAGGATAGTGCTACATTGCAGTTTTAGAACAGAAAGGGTTAGAACCTCTGTCCCACTGAAGAGATTTCCTCCCACTTCCTGTCCTGGAGATGCAAACAAGAAATTAGAGGAAATATTTACAAAAAAAAAGGCAATCCCCTTCTTAGACAGTTGTCACAAAACAGATTTCTCTTTAACTTTTGGTCTAGTGACAACTGTGAAATGTTGGATTTCCTGTTACTTTCTGTCCCATGATAGTGATCACCAAAACAGACAGAGAGGGGGGTCACAGACAGTAATAAAAAACCTGATGGGGGTTCTAATCCTTCCTTACACTATGAAAAGAATATTGGCTGTGCATAGACTTTAATACTAATATATACCACTGTAGGAAGGATTAGCTTCCATGAATTAGTTAGCAATCAAACATTGGCAATGTTATTAGAGTGGCAGACAGCTAATATCAGGGAAATGCTGACCTCTCTGAAAGTTTTACAGCTTGAATTGTGTATCTGATAGTTTTATTGTGAATAAGCAATCATGTTTATTTGTTAATCAGAGTAAAAGGTCAGCTCCAAGTTGGGAAATAAACAATGAGAACGTATTCCTACTTTAAGGAGATCGGCTCTGTCCAGAAAATGCGCTCAGAAATAAATTCCACCTGTACCTGTTAATAATAAACCAGGCAGCCGTCAACATCCCAGCCAGCCACGTGCCGCTCATTATCCAACTGATGACAATATAGGTGGACAGGTAGATTGCATAAATCATGCCACTCGTCACCATTACCAGGCATCCAACAAACAGCTTTGCAAAACGTTGCACAGCAACACCTGCGAAGAAGAAACAAAATACATGAATGCCTACTTAATCTATTTGAAAAATATCTTTAATAGCAACTCTCCCCAAAAAGCACACATTTAATTTACTAATCTGTACTGAGATTGTAGTCCATCACAGGAGTGAGCTTGGAGCGGTGGCTACTTTACAACACACACAGGGACCATGGGGAACAAAAGTAACCACCCTCCAAACCTCCAGAAGGAAGGACAGTGTCGGCACCAATTCAGAGATGATTTGAGGATCTACAGCCGGGTGATACACAAATATAGGGCTGTAACTAATGATTATTTTCATAATTGATTAGTTGGCCGATTATTTTTTCGATCGGGTAAAAAGAATAAAACGAATACCATCCTTAATTTAAAATAAATACGCAAATGCAGTGTTACAAACTAAGTTTACTTCAGAATAAAACTGCATGCACAATTGTTTGCAATCACACTGCACTGGAACACACGGCATTGTGGTACCGTACATTCCAGTAAGGGCAATCACACTGTGGGTGGGAGGCGCATTTGGGGTGCCATTGAAATGAATGGCACTGCAACGCACCTCCCGCAGCAGAATTTGTCAGGCTGAAACCGAAAATGACTTTTTTCCCACCTTTTATCATTTTTTCTTCTTCTTAAATAATTGTATTGTAAGCCCATGGTGCATGAATAGTAAGGATGCACCGATACTAGTATCGATATCGGTGCCGATACCGAGTATTTGGGCGCTCAGAAATAAATTCCACCTGTACCTGTTAATAATAAACCAGGCAGCCGTCAACATCCCAGCCAGCCACGTGCCGCTCATTATCCAACTGGTGACAAACAAGGCACCAATATATATTCCCTGTAGACCAAATATGATTCCGATGTAGAAATATACGGGGTCCATCGTACCCTGTGAAGAGAGTAGACAGTGGTGAGAAGAAACCAGCTCTGCCTTTGTTCTGTGATCCAGTCCAGGAAACCTCCACTGATGGGAAGGATTAGTCAAATCAAATCTATGATCCTTCCCTACAGCATGTGGCCTAGGCGTTTGGTCACATACAGCAAGTGTCCTGGGCATCTGGTCACATGATAGGCCTCCGTGGGATCCCACAGCAGCGTTTTTTGCAGTGCTACTGTTATGACTTTGAAGGCAGAAAAATGAATTTAACTTTAGCTCTTCTTTAGTTACATTTCTACTGAAATGTCCCTGGAGCCTACAGAGTAGACTTTACCTTACTCCCAGACATGTGATACAGGGCACTGGCTATGAGCTCCGGGTACAGGGTCATCTGCTGTACAGCATTGATAGTCTTCATGGGCACAGACCTATTGTTGTAAGCCAATTCAAATACACCTGAAATAAAGAGCAAAGCAATTCAAATTCAAACAGCAGGTGGCCCAAGACAAAGGCTTGATAACTTTTTCGCTATATAGATTATTATACCTCTTTCAAATGATGGGGCTCGAAGCATGTCTTTATAAAATGAATAATATACAGCTCCATCTCCCTGAAAAGTGATTTCTCGTTCAAGATCCTGGAGGAGAAGAAACAGTAGAGTGCAATACAGTGTTAACCATAGGCCCATGTTAATGGGTACTACCAGACATCGAGATCTAGTTTCCTATTCGGCATAAGTGCCATTCTGCTATTATTTTCTTTTTCCCCATAGAAACTGGAGCGCTTATTAAAAGTTTATTTTTGCTCTGCAGAAATTCCAACTGGAAGCAGATTAGAAAACTACCCCCCAGGTACTTATTATTTATTTCCACCGGAATTTGCATCACACACTCATGTGATGATCCTAATTGTGACTGTTGAGGGCACAACCCAAACTGGACTGCAACTTATTCAACCTTAATTCTTCTGGCCAAAGGACCCTCAGATTCTTTGGCCAAAATAGATCAGACCTAACCATTGGTAAGGTTTGAACATCATTTTGTCCAGAGGAAGTATTTTCATTCTAGCGGCGTGAAAAAGAAAGTACACCCACTGTGAATGCTATGGTTTTAGGTATCAGAACATAATAAAAAGCATCTGGTCTTTAGCAGGTCCTACAATTTGGTAAAAACAGCCTCATATGAACAACAACATATTACATCGTGTCATTATTTATTTATTTTACAAACATAAAGCCAAAATGGTGATGTTATGTGTGTAAAGGTGCCCATACACCTAACGACCATCGCAAAACTTTTGTCTTGCGATGGTCGTATGCTTATTGAAAGCTTGTACGATCTGCCTACCTTGGACGGGCAGATCCTACTTGCGATCATCAATCGATGACCGCAATGCAGAACGGGCAGTGTGCGCGTGTGCACACCGGCCCGTTCCACAGCTATCGAACAAGCAGGCTAGAAACCCGCCGACAATCGTACGATTCTCTGCGGGTTTTCGAGCATGCTGGTTCAACAAAAGACGTGCTAAAGTACAGTAGAAACGGTCGCATGCCTTCCATGCACTGTACGATTCTCGTACGATCGCGGGCTTTCCCGCGATTCTCGTACGAGAATCGTACAGTTTATGGGCACCTTAAAACGAAGTACACCCTCACTGCTTCCATAGGAATAAAGAAGCTAAGTAGCAGCCAGGTGCTGCCAATCAAATGTCCTTGATTAATTAATCATCAACAAGTGTGACCATCAGCCCACATTCATACCTACACGTTCCAGGAACACGTCATGTTCTGCGTTCGCTGCATGCCCCCACTGAATTCAATGGGGTTTAAACATGCGACAAAAAAAGATCATGTAGCAAATTTTACAGCATACGTTCTGCGGTTTTGACTTCCAAGTTTTTAATGTGTGCAAACGATGCATCTTCCTGGCTGCGTTTGGGGTGCCATCCCTTACTCCACGTGTCCAGAAGCTAAGTGTTATGTGCAGGACATGGCATGCTGCAAGGTAAGATTTGTATACTTTGCAGCAGCCCTCCACACACCACCTGCATCTTTGTAATGATAATTTACACTCCCAGTGTGGCGGGTAAACGATGATATTTTCTCATAGTTTGGCTTTAAGTTGTGTGCTGGAAATCAGAGTAAATTACTGTGTGCATTATGCGTGTCAGGAAAATATTTGCTGAGAAGTCTGCATTAAAATGATCTATGAAACAAGAGAAATGTTACTACTAGAGCTTGTGAGACAAAGTTAGAATGTCACATAAGATGACGCATGCCACCACAACTTCCTCTACTGTACTGCTATCTCCTCTGCCCATGACTTCCTGACATATTACTTGCTACCCCAGATCACAGCAACTGACAACGATTATATATATATATATATATATATAGCATTCTTACCCTCCGACTAGAAAACCAAAACTTGCGCTCATGATAGGTGGACAGGTAGATTGCATAAATCATGCCACTCGTCACCATTACCAGGCATCCAACAAACAGCTTTGCAAAACGTTGCACAGCAACACCTGCGAAGAAGAAACAAAATACATGAATGCCTACTTAATCTATTTGAAAAATATCTTTAATAGCAACTCTCCCCAAAAAGCACACATTTAATTTACTAATCTGTACTGAGATTGTAGTCCATCACAGGAGTGAGCTTGGAGCGGTGGCTACTTTACAACACACACAGGGACCATGGGGAACAAAAGTAACCACCCTCCAAACCTCCAGAAGGAAGGACAGTGTCGGCACCAATTCAGAGATGATTTGAGGATCTACAGCCGGGTGATACACAAATATAGGGCTGTAACTAATGATTATTTTCATAATTGATTAGTTGGCCGATTATTTTTTCGATCGGGTAAAAAGAATAAAACGAATACCATCCTTAATTTAAAATAAATACGCAAATGCAGTGTTACAAACTAAGTTTACTTCAGAATAAAACTGCATGCACAATTGTTTGCAATCACACTGCACTGGAACACACGGCATTGTGGTACCGTACATTCCAGTAAGGGCAATCACACTGTGGGTGGGAGGCGCATTTGGGGTGCCATTGAAATGAATGGCACTGCAACGCACCTCCCGCAGCAGAATTTGTCAGGCTGAAACCGAAAATGACTTTTTTCCCACCTTTTATCATTTTTTCTTCTTCTTAAATAATTGTATTGTAAGCCCATGGTGCATGAATAGTAAGGATGCACCGATACTAGTATCGATATCGGTGCCGATACCGAGTATTTGGGCGGTACTCGGTACCAAAATACAAGTATCGGTGCATCCCTATTGAATAGCTTCAGCCAGGAAATGACAGCTGCCAGTGGCAAGATTCCGCAGATGGCAGCTGAATGTAAATACAGCAGGTAGTGGGCTGGTGCAGCAGTCAGCCCGCTATTGGCCATTTCAAATTGCAATAGCCAATAGCAGGCTGGCTATTGCACCAGCCCACTGCCTGCTGTGTCCTCCTCCAAGAATGGAGGAGAGAGCTAGGGGATCCAACCAACTAATCGATAATGAGAATAGTTGACAACTATTCTCATAATCAATTATTATCAATGAATCGATTAGTTGGTTACAGCCCTACACAAATAAGATACATTATTGTTAATAGTTAAGGTACCTGGGTGTATTTATAAGATTTAACTCCTGAGTTTAGTGTCACTTTAAGATAACAAGTAATATTGACATATTTTTGGAACAAACGCAGGTTTCTTTCACTAACATTGTCTTTCTAAGTAATCTATACTTCAAGAGCCAATCTGTCCGGTAGGATTTTTTTAAATTTTTTTTTGGAGCCTGCTTAACTAACAACTAGAGAAAACCTCAAAAGTTAGGCGACTTTTGTAAATGACTTCTTGGCTCCAGAGATTTGCCCAGCCGGCTGTAAACAACAAGATGTAACAAAACTACTCTGACCAGTTTCATTTAAAAAAAAAAAAATTAGTGTTAATAAAGATAAAAAGTAAAAAGCCAGACAGAACCTCTGACACTGCAGACAAATGATATAGAAAGATAGCAATCATATACGTATCTATTTTTTTATGTGCTACACACAGCTAAGCACAAAGACTTAGAATTATGTCTCACTATCAGAGTCATTAATAAGACAATGGAAAACCAATAAGGGTGAGCCACGAACAATAAATGAATGCTGGTAAAAAGTGTACTTACTCTGAGATTTAATCATTGTGTGCTCATTTGAGTCATTTCTTTTCCAGGCAAACAGATAAAGGTCATATCGTGTTGGTAATAAATGTAGACATTTGCATGCACTTCTCCTAACTCACACAGAGGTTGTGTACAAACTACAGTCTGTATGCCTGCCAAGAACACCCCTACCTCCCAAGGTCTGCGTTACAATCGGCTTTTAAAAGGCACAGTGTTTAAATCTGATTCCATGCCATGCTCCTGTGCTAACAAACAGCCTGCTAATAGGAGGAGAGAGCAGAGTGTGAGATGGTTGGCTGCTTTACCCGTCACTGTCCAATGACAGGCTGGGGGTGGGAAAAGACCTGTCAGTTTTACTTAACTGTAGCAGAGAAAAATCAGGTCTTCTACCCTTACAGACAATGCTGTGCTGTGTGGCAGAGCTGTGCAAATTTCAAGACACAATGGACAGAAATACAATTTCTTTGGAAGGTAAAACTGCTTACATGTATTTATTTTACCCGTGGTTTAAGCTGTTTTCTTGGAGTTCATTTTTCAAGTGTAACTCCAGGATTTTTAAAAATCAACCCCCACACTGCAAGTATTAAGTGCTCATTTTTGTCTAGAGGTGCAAAACTGAAGAAATACTCAGCCGAACCTCGATAGCCTCAGTCTCTTCTCCCCAAGGCTCTGATGAAGAGTCGTCACGTCTAACAAAGGTATATTAGATGTGAAGATGACGAGGGACAAAGCACAGCCTGAGCGAAGGGGAAGAGAGGTCAGCGGTCACTGCCGTAGGACCGAGGATTCGGTGAGTATTTCTTATTTTTCGCCACTACAGAAAAAAAACGAGCAGTTATAGATGGGCAGAGATGTCCAATGAGATAAAGGAAGCACTGTTTGCCCAAAGTTTAAACAAGAACGAGCCCCATGATACGTGCCCAATGCTGGTTGACTGTCATGTCACTTTAGGGCATTGACAAGAAAACCCCTGATATGAATATCTGTGTTTTAGGTTAGTGAATTATGAGGTCACATTCACATATGGACTTACTGGGAACGCACGTCACAGGCATTTGTTTCCTGCATTTCACGCATGTTCCCAGTGATCGCCACTGGGTCCCTGGACTTGTACATGTCGCAATTTGGTGACATGCATTCTGCATTTGCTCAGCCGCATTTGGGGTGCCATTACCTAGTAATGGCAACAAAGGCGCTTTCCGCATTTATGCACGTATCGTGAATGCACATTAAAGTGTGCACTTTTGTACGCGTTTAAGGCACGTTCATGATATGCCCTGGTGTGAACGGGGACTTAAATAGTAAAGAAAGGGTGATGATGGCAGCTCAAGAGTTCAACTAGCTTCATTAAAGAAATATGTGACCGGCCTTTTCTGACCTCCTTCGGAAATTAGTAGATGCCTGTCAGTCCTGTCAATCCCCTGACTTCAGTACTTTTGTTTTATTAGTGACCTGGAGGAAGTATGGAGACCATAGGCAGATATTCCACGTATCCCTTTACAGATAATGATGACAACGTTGATGATGTCACAGGAAGACTGGTCCTGCCCAAACAGTGGACATGTATGCTCAAATGATAACTCCAAATGTACAAGATTTAGTATAATGTTGCTCGGTTTTGTGAACTCCAGGTTTATCTGATGTGGATTGTACTTTGGCAGGGACTCTTTGACAAGCCCAGCTATTTTCAGGAAAGTGATCATCACTGAGCTCACTGCACCCGTGCTGGGTACAATAATTGTATTGTAAGGCGCAGCACTAAATGGCTGAACCTAGTGTAACGAACACTGTGCTTCCTGCAGTTGTCCAGGATAACAGACCCTCCCTTAGGAGGTGAAGTGGCCTCTGTGTGAAATAATGAAGACTTCTTTCAAGCTTCATGATCCTGAGAACTGCTGGAGCGGATCAGGTTGGATATACTCTGCCTTCAACTGCTCTACAGCCACATACAATAGCTAGTCTGTACATGGCAAGCAGTGCAGGGTTGTGTCTTCACCAGGATTACAGGATACATGAGATGACTGCTGATGACCCAAGTAACACAAGACATCAGGTTATTTTACCTGATAACTTTAACAAAAACATCCCGTACATTGTTTATATATTGATTCATTTATAGATATACCAAAGGGTCTTCGATGTGGATATGATTTTAGAAACACATGTTAACCAGTCAGTGTCACCTGATGATGCTGTGCACATTAGGGATACGCCAAATGAAAATTTTAGAATTAAATAAAAAAAATTGTCAGGCCAAAACTAAAACCGACTTTTTTTTCCCCCAAAACGTTTTAAAATTGTTTTTTAATTAATTATTATTATTTTATTTTTTTACTGTTAGGGACTTTGGGCAAATATCAGGGGTCTGTTTATCTTCCTTTTAAAATAGAAAATTGATTAAGGACACAGAGTCCAAAATCTCCTTTTCTGCAGTCCCTGTTATGAATAAACAGGAAGTCTCTATACTGAGTGTTCCTGTCCATTCATAAACTAAGGAGATAGTAACTAATACTATGTCCACAATCATGAATGGACAGGAAGTGATTTAGAACACTATTCCTATTCATTTATAACTGGGGACACAGTAAGCATACTATGTCCGGAGGGCAGAGGGTAATCAGAAACAATAACCTTACAAGCACCAGGAACATACATGGACAGACTGGGCAACCCTACCAATTATTATTTACTGTGTGTAAAACAATAGCAGTCCTTGCTGTCTATGTCTCACAGTAGGAGCCACTCTAATTGAACCATGAAAGTGAGAAGCTAAAATCACGGACAACTCAGACACTTTTGAACATAAGCTCTGTCAGGATTTGCAGAAATGACAAATGCATAAGCACAACCTAGAATTGCGCAGTTTGTATTAGTAACCTTTGGAGGGAACAACAGAAGAGAAGTAGCAGAGAGGGACATCATAAGAGGAATAACTGTGCAGGATATACAGGACAACACTGCATAGTAAGCATAGATTTAAACACACAACTATCACCAAAGTCACAGGGTTTGGGTATATCAACAAAAAAGTCATCAAGAACTTCTTTTTATGTAAATATCTTACACTTTGTAGATCTTCCTGCTTTTTGCCTTGCTTTTGGCTTTTCAGTCTCCTCAGTGTCCGTCGTTTCTGCTTGTTCTGAGGATGAAGTCTTGTTCCTTTGCCTCAGCTCTTCTTCCGAGGCACCTTAACAAGACAATTAGATTATCAGTATAGACTTTCATTTTAACTGTACATGTATATATGTGATCAGCAATATTTGTTTGCAACATATTCATATTGCACTTCCTGCCTAGGTGAGCAGAGGCGTGCTTGTGCTTTGCAGCTCATCTTATCCCAAAGCCATTGGGATGGAATTAAAGTGCTATATTTATAAAACAGTGGTGACAGCTACCAAATATTTACTGCGAGTAAACCTTCCTGGTGGATGTGTCTTAAATTACAGTGAATGACTCACCTGTTGTCAACATTTTGTAGATGCCACAACTACTTCTTTATAAATATGGCCTCGCCCCTCCCCCCCCCTTTAAAAAGACATATTCAGTACATCTCTGCTATACATACATATTTTCCTGTGTATTGTCTCTTTAAAAACAAAGCAGAAGTACAAATACAAAACAAATCCTGATGATCCTGCCAGAAATCCAATGAGCTCCTAACTCACTGTAGTAGCCGACACCCTGCTGCACTAAAATCCCAAGCAGTGTTGTCAGTCATGACTATGAACAACTACTCTTTATGTTATGGAGATGAGGAGAGGGCTTCCCTTCTTTGTTCTGTAGTCCAGCAGTAACAAACGCACATACTTATATATTTGCCACTCCGTACAGCAATAATTAAAGTGACACTAAACTCAGGAGGTAAATTTTAAAAATACATTGAAGTACCTTAACTATTAACACAAATGTATCTTATTTGTGTATCACTCGGCTGTAGATCCTCAAATCATCTCTGAATTGGTGCTGACACTCTCCTTCCTTCTGGAGGGTGGCTACTTTTGTTCCCCATGGTCCCTGTGTGTTGTTGTAAAGTAGTCTTCATTCCAAGGTCGCTCCTGTGATGGACTACAATCTCATGTTTAGTTTACTAATCTGTATTGAGTTTGTAGTCCATCACGGGAGCGAGCTTGGAGCGGTGGCTACTTTACAACACACACAGGCACTATGGGGAAAAAAAGTAGCCACCCTCCAGAAGGAAGGGCAGTGTCAGCACCAATTCAGAGATGATTTGAGGATCTACAGCCGAGTGATACACAAATAAGATACATTTTGTTAATAGTTGAGGTACTTGAATAGATTTTGAAAATGTAAAGTGTCACTTTAATACAGTTAGAGGTTAAATTTTAAAAAAATGCCGTTGTAGCAAACTCTCCCAGACACATACCTGGCCTTCCCAATGAGTAAAACCCCATAATCTTTGCTTACCTTCTTTTTCCATGTTGAGAAGCTTGGAATGTATTGCAAAGTTGAGTCTATGAGATGTAAGTTGGGAACCTGGCTGTGTAGCACACCATTAATATGCAGTGCAGTTACAGCATGGAGCCGCCGTGATTACTGGGCACAGCAGGGTGTCGATTTATCACTCCGAGTCATTGCAGACCTTCAGTAACACAGAGCAGAGAGGTTAACACTTACATGTAACAATGCCAAGAAACACCACTATACATCAATATCTCAATCTACAAATGGCAGTGAAAACTGTGCTACACACGGCTATCTAGATCTGCTGGCCACTAAAGTGTGGATTTACCATATGATTGACAACCAGCTCCATTTCAAAGGCCTCACGTGACCTCCAACTCCTGGAAACTTCCGTTTTTGATTAGAAAAATGTAAATGAAAATATATCATAAATACAACACACTACACCACAATGAGCAGCACCAATAATGCTTCATTACAGATATGCAGAGTAGAAGGAATAATGTTGAAGGAGAATTATGGGGTGAGTGAAAAACACTCATCCCCATAATTCAAGCCGACCTGTGACACTGAAGCTTTCACAGGTCAGCTCTATTGATCGGGAAGTCAGAGAACACATACAGCCAATCGCTGACTTCTAGGGCTGCAACTAATGATTACTTTCATAATCGATTAGTTGGCCAATTATTTTTTCGATTAATCGGATAAAAAAAAGTTTAAATAAATACCATCCTTAATTTAAATTAAAATACACAAATGCAGTGTTACAAACAAAGTTTACTTCAGAATAAAACTGCATGCGCAAATTTTTGGCAATCGCATGGCATTGTGGTACCGTGCGTTCCAATGCAGACGATCACACTGTGGGTGGGAGGCGTGTTTGGGGTGCCATTGAAATGAACGGCACTGCAACGCACCTCCCGCAGCAGAATTTGTCAGGCCGAAACCAAAAATGACTTTTATCCCACCTTTTATCATTTTTTTCTATAACTGTATAGTAAGCATATGGTGCTTGGAAAGCTTCAGCCAGGGAATGACAGCTGCCAGTGGCAAGATTCCCCAGACGGCAGCTGAATGTAAAAACAGCAGGTAGTGGGCTGGTGCAATAGCCAAACTGCTATTGGCCATTTCAAATTGCAATAGCCAATGCCAGGCTGGCTATTGCACCTGCCCACTGCTTGCTGTGCCCTGCTCCCAGCATGGAGGAGAGAGCTAGGGGATCCAACCAACTAATCGATAATGAGAATAGTTGACAACTATTCTCATTATCGATTAGTTGGTTACAGCCCTACTGACTTCCCGATCCTCTCCCTGCAGAGAGCATGAGATGACTCATGGCTCCTTGCAGGAACTCCCCCCTCTCCGATCCTCCAGCGCTGACTGGAGGAATGGAAGGGGGAGCGGGCAGGTACAGCTGGTTCTGCCTCCAGATAGGCAGAGCCCACAGTCAATCAGCCAGCAGAGTGGATCTCGACAGCATTGACAGGATCTATCCCAGCTGTGGCGCTCTCAGCATATATGCTGAGTTTTGGGTCACCGGAGAACACAGTGTATGTCCTCTCATGACACCACCTGTAACCTAATATACATCACCAGGATATTCTCACCTAATATATTTACCATAAAAGTTTAATATGATCCTCTTGTCGCCATAAGAAAATCTGCTAATTCTTTCATGATAGGACTTGGCAACTTTTCAGTCAATGAGACTCACTGAAGGGCAATATATTCTACTCACAGTTAGTATTTTACATTGCTAAAAAAAATAAAAGCCCATCTCTGGGTAAAAGATTGTCTCCTCCCACTCCCATTTCACCCATTCAGCCCAAAAAGTTTAATGAAATAAATAAATAAAAACAAAAGATTTTTTCTTTTTTAAAGCCCTTCGCAACCACTGTTTTTGGAGCTCCGGGGTGTGTGCATTGTTACAAAAACAAAAAAAAGTGGATAGTGAAATCACTGCACACAAAAAACTGCACGCGGGTGCTTGGTCTTCCCAAAAAAAAAACTGCTTGAGTAATTATTCTTCTTGGGGCTCATTCACACTGAGGTGTTTTATCATTTGGGAAAACCCATTTAAATTCCCGCCCCGGGTTTGGTCACAGATCGGTCCACACTTCATTGCAGGTGTGTGTATAGAGGTTCAGGGGGGCGGTACACAGGATTCAGTATAAGCATCCTTCTAGGAGACCTCATGGACACAAAGAAACCACACTCTAATACCATTTAGTGCAACCACCTGACCAAAGCCTCAGGGCCCATTCATGTATGCGGAGCTAAACACCTGCTGTGTGCAGGGAAACAATACAGCTGTGTTCACATCTGTTAACAAAAAGCCACTTGCAGATCCATAGAGATCTGAGAGCAATGTCTGTGTGCAGGAGACCTTATAGTTATAAAACAACAAATACTGGGTCACACACCCTCAGAGGGTCACATCCAGAGAGGGGCACACACATCCAAATGGTAACACTCCCCAGAGGGTCACACCCCCAGAAGTTAACACAATCCCAGTCACATCCTAAGAGGGTCACCCCCCCAAAGAGTCACATACTGAGGGTCACACCCCCCAGAGGGTCACATCCTGACGGTCACACACACCCAGAGGGTCACATCCTGACGGTCACACACCCCCAGGGGGGTCACATCCTGACGGTCACACACCCCCAGGGGGGTCACATCCTGACGGTCACACACGCTCAGGGGGTCACATCCTGACGGGGACACACATCCTGACGGGTCACATCCTGACGGTCACACACGCTCAGGGGGTCACATACGCTCAGGGGGTCACATCCTGACGGTCACACACGCTCAGGGGGTCACATCCTGACGGTCACACACCCCGACGGTCACACACCCCAGGGGGGGTCACATCCTTACGGTCACACACCCCCAGGGGGGTCACATCCTGACGGTCACACACGCTCAGGGGGCCACATCCTGACGGTCACACACCCCCAGGGGGCCACATCCTGACGGTCACACACCCCCAGGGGGCCACATCCTGACAGTCACACACCCCCAGGGGGCCACATCCTGACAATTCCCAGCTATGTCACCTATAAGTTTGGGGGAAAGTGTACATGCCACATGCATAGTGGAAGGATTGGTCTGGCGGGAGGTACACAGATATATGAATGTACATAACTGTCCGATCACACAGAAGAAGCTACAATGTCACCAACTACACATGCACAGCACCCGGCAAGACACCAGTGAAAGTTGCCGGAGCCGCCTTCTGGAGGAGAAGGGGTTACAATCCCTTCCTCCGGCACACCCCACCATCCCCCAAACACAATCCTGTCCCCCCTCCGGCCCGCGGGCCATTGTCACCTACCAGCTGCAAAGTCGCTGTACCCCAGCCTGGCCGCACACTGAGGAGCGCCGAGTGCCATTCACACAGCCCAGACACAGGAAGTAGGCTGCCTCAATCGAGTACCTATCCTTCATTGTGAAGAGGAACCTGAGCAGTGCAGATCTGCAGACTGAGGCAGATTGTACTAATGCAGTATAACAAGCTTCTAGTGAGAAGACATGCTGTTATAGCACCTAGACATGTCCATGCAGTGGATATGTATAATCTGTGGCAGCACAGGCAGGTTTCTCATCTATGGGAAGTGTTTGCACAGTTTGGTCAGGATCACTGAGGCTGATTTACTAAAGGAGCTGAGAATCTTTGCACAATAAATTATGTAAATGTTCTCCTCAATTATCCAATCATCTGTGAAACAAATTCTTCTTTATTTCATCTGCCCAGGATTGCGTATTCATAGTCAACATAAAATTGATTTACATATTACTGGATAATTGGAAAGTTATTGGGCGAGGATTCTTAACTCCTTTAGTAAATCGGTCCAATTGGTCCATAATAAATCCCCAGCTTGGTGATCAGACAGTGAACAAAAACACTGATACAGTCATCCTTCTGTCACTCTGCTCTTTCCTACTGTCAGCTTTATCATAGTCAGGTCCTTTTGTGTGTTACTGTATGAAGTATGGAAGCAGTACTCCAGAAATGATCTTTTTAGATACTTTGGTCCAACTTGGCTCAATGTAAGTATCTATATCTGGTCTTCACAGGCCCACTGGGGGTGCTAAAATCACGTTACAATGATAACTGTGATCTTCCAGGTTCGGCTCCTGCTGGTTCCCCTCTGCACACTGAGCACAGGGAATCGCTCACTGGCCACCACCACCATTCAGAGGATGCCTTGATTCTATAAAAATAATACAAGCAGGGCTATTCACAAAAGGGTGAAGAGTTTGGAGAAGACAGGAGACGTGAACAATCTAGGACAACATAGCTGAACTGGAAAAACTCTCCAATTCAGCTCACTTTCCAGCTCAGCTATGTTGTCCTAGATTGTTCCCTTCTCCTGCCTTCTCCAAACTCCTCACCCTTTTGTGAATGATCCTGTAGGTGTTCTCTGATTGGAGGAGGTAGAAGTTGTGACAGCATCCACCCTTTCTCTTTACCTCATCCAGAGAACACCTTGAAAAATGAATGGCGGCAATGCCCAGCAAGAAAATGTCTGTATTTGGTGTGCAGATAAAGTGATTTTTAGCATTCCAAAGTGGCCCTTCACTTATCAGATATTGCTACTTACAGTGAGCCAAGCTGGACCAAAGTAATGCCAGGTAAAGCCTGTGGACTGAATGAAAAAATAAAATAGAACAGATTCCTCCATCAACACTTATGAGCATTGATGTACAAATCCACCTCTGTTTGCATTGTATTCTGACAGCAGCCGCGTGCTGCTATCAGAATACCTCAACAGAGCCTCCAGCTGATTTGGCTGCAAGCTTTGTGTGGCCGAGATTTTCTCAACCTGCTCCTTTGATCAGCTGGTTAAGAGATGCCAGGTGGAAGGGTGCTGACTGCGAATTTTGGCCAGTTCGTTAGGAATTGGCCAAAATTTGATACATTCATACCTGGCTTGGGTTTGCAAAAACTTTCTTCCTGGAGTTCTACTTTAAGGAAGGCAGA